AGTTCCAGGAAGTTCATAGCGGGCAATTGTAATACATTGAGTTGGAGAGACAGAACTGTGATTTTTGGTAATTAGTAGACAATAAAATAATTTATTTACATTATTTATAAAATAATGTATACATGTATATGTAGTATGTATATGTAGTTATATCAGTGTTGTTTTTAAAAGATAAAATCCTCTAATATTTGAGGATTAATGTGGTCAGCTATCCTTACCTGCCTTGTTAACATATTTTAGGCTGAACCTTCCATGATTAAAGTCCGTGTATGCTATATAAATTACATCGTGGTCTTCTGCCAAAGTAACTTCAGCCTCCCTATATAAATATAATTATGTGTGTGTGTGTGTTTGTGTGTGTGTGTTCTTACAACTTGCATGTTAGTCAAGTTCAATCACATCTTAATGTTCATTGTCGTTTTACTAATCTCATGGTAAATGTTAAGTTTGTTGTCTTAGAAAATTCATTCCAAATAAATGAAGATATTTTATTAAGTGAAAACTAATCTTGTTCAATGTTTTTGATTCTTGTGCACCCCACAAAATAATGCGTTTTTTGAACCACCAAGCATGAGAGCATGTTCTAGTACACCCCCAAAACAAAATCAAGACTTTGTAAAAGAGCATAATAGGACCCCTTTAAACAAACAAACATTATACAACAAAAAGGTTTTGGCTTGTAGACATGGCTTGAACAGCTTCTAATGACTATTGTGTTAAAAATTAATAGTTAATAACAGTCATGAACAATAGCAGTTAAGTTTAGAATACAAACATTCATAAATGTGGTGGAAGGATCTTGTGCATGTTATTTGGATGCCTACAATTCAGAGGTCAGTTTTTTTTTTCAGTTGAAAAGCAAAGCGATGACACAGAGGCAATTTGAATAATGATACACACACAGTGTATTTCTTTTGAGTCAAGATTAAGAATTCTTCTTGAATTATTGTCATTCAATTCACAGCACATTTCAAGTGGCTGAGTGCAGCAGAGAGCAGTATCATCGTAATTGGTTTGTTTTTCGGATCAGCTGATCAGACTAAATTGCAGTGTTCATCACCGGCTCTCACCAGCACAACCTCAGTGTGAAAATTAAAACCTTGAGCTTATTTTTAATTGAGCGCTACTAATACCCACAAAACCAGAGGCCACCGCAGATGCCTCTTTATCTTCACTCTTTAATGTGCGAAGCAGATGAATTCATTTTCCCATGACTGAGCTTTCAAGACCTCCCCGCCATTATTGGTCTCTGCTCTAATGCTGTAATTTGTCTTGCTGTTATACTGTATTAAATACACAACATTTCCAAATGTTTTAACACTTTATTTTGTTGATAAGACTGTAAAAGTTTTTGATCAAAGTTATGTTGTAACTTAACATTTGTAATAACTTTTTTTTATTCTTATCCAAATAATGGTGACTATGTGATTTGTCTCTATTTTGTCCTTTTCTTGCTCTCTCACCACACACACACACACACGCACGCACACACACACACTTTCGTTTTGATGTATTTATAACAAACTGAAAAGAAATGTGTAAATTTCCTGATATAGTGAACCACCCCCATCTTGTGGTGGGCATGAAATGTCCACTGTCCAATCCCAGATGTACCTTTCAAATCTTACATTTTTTCATTTTTTTTCCTACCTATTGATTTTTTATTTATTTATTTATTTTTTTGCACAATAATTGTGATACAAAGAGGAATATAGGAAGATACGGAGCAATTACAATTCTGTGTTACACAAATAAAACAAGTAATTATTTAATGTCTCCAAATATTATTATTTTTTAATACCCAACAATAAAGTTACTGTTTGGTCATTGTTTTTTATTTTATTAATAAGAAACAATTATTATTAAATAAATAAATAAATTTGCGTTTGTGTGTGTGTGTGTGTGTGTGTATGTGTGTGCGTGTGTGTGTGAGTGAGTGAGTGAGAGAGACAACATAAAGACAGCATATACAGAATGTTCTCTAATGGTTATTTTTAGGTTTTATTTCATAACCAAAGAGTAACTTTACCAGTATGTTCTGGGGACTAAAAATGGCTAGCTGGGTAGAAACATTTCCATATTCGTGAAAATGTATAAACATATCTGAGTAATTCGTTTTGTATCTAAGGATTGTAAACCTTACTGAATAAAAGGGAAAATAATGTGATAAAAGAAAGGTTGCACCCAGACATAGAAAATAAATATGGAACAGATTGATCAATAATTCCTTGGACCATAAACATATTTATTGCTTGTTCTGACCAGTACTTTGCCATTAGTTGTCTAATGTTATTATTATAATCTTATTAAACAGAAGGATGCTTGACCGCTGGAAATACTGGCGCTGACCCAATTTAACGGCCGTTTGCCAGAGGCTACTGTCAGTGTCAGCCGTTTCAGCGTCCCGCCTACCTAAGACCCATTTTTACACCTTCATTGATCTGTGATTGACAGGAGAGAAAGAAGAATGAAGACAGAATGAATGGTGCCTACTAGTCAACAAGCATCACTGGCCAGTGAGTCAGAGCGCATGCGCAGTGCTTACGCTCTGGATGCTGCTCAGTATAGAAAAGCAACCTGCCTGTTCGCCAAGGCAACGTTTCAAAGCAGAAGAAATGCCTCGAAATAGTGCATCCGATATGCAAGATGGAATGTGTATTGCCAGCGAAATGACAAAATGTGCGGACGCCGATGCTTCTCCGCGCTCCGATGGTTTCATCTTCGGTCCAAAATGCCACTTGCTTAACTGACATACGAGGATAGAGGCGTAAATAGTCATTGATAAAGGAAAATCAAGCGAATCTACAAATATGAACGGTACGCTGCTTAAAAAGCGAAGGCTGGACTGTGTGTATGCGGTGCTGTCAAGGATTCAGCGGTGAAATCAAGATTGGGCCCCCATGGTTTTAATTATGCACGTCTTACGCATACAGGTGCAAATGTGCTTAGCTTGTGCTAAGTCGGTAACAATATTTCATGTAGCTCTAGCTCTATATGTGATTAATAGGGTTGTTGCTATGTGCTATTGACCACTGAGCTACTGTAAACAGTCATACATCTTATTAATGGTTAGGATAAGAGGGTGTGGGTTTTGTGGATGATAGAAGTGGACATAAAAGTACAGACCTTAATCAATTTAAATGAAGTTTTAAATGCATTTGAGTCATCATGATGTCATAAAAGGAGTAAAGTAGTTTATGAGAATTATACTGCCGCTTGCTAAACATTTGTGCTATGGATGAATATTGACTTGTCCCTCCTTTTCTTTAAAAAAGGTTGCAGTGAATCACCAACACACTCTCATGGCAGTTCTTAACTTTGTTTTTTTGTTTTTTTTTGGTTGAATTGGTGGTGAATGCGTATGCATTCATACAATCTCTTTTGTACATTTGCATATGATCGGCTTGCTCCCCACTGAGAGTTAGGTTTAGGAGTGGACCTTCATGCTTACTTTTTTTTAAGAATCATGTTTTCATGATTTAAATCGTACAAATTCATAAAAAAATTCATCACCAATTCGCCAAGATGTTAAATAGTTTTCTCTTGAGACTGGGTCGGAAGCATTTACAATGGGTGTAAATGGGGCACAATTGGTAAATGTTAAAATACTCATTTAGGAATAGACTAGAGAGCGCAAGGTTTAAGGATTCAGCGGTGAAATCAAGATTGGGCCCCCATGGTTTTAATTATGCACGTCTTTCGCATACAGGTGCAAATGTGCTTAGCTTGTGCTAAGTCGGTAACAATATTTCATGTAGCTCTAGCTCTATATGTGATTAATAGGGTTGTTGCTATGTGCTATTGACCACTGAGCTACTGTAAACAGTCATACATCTTATTAATGGTTAGGATAAGAGGGTGTGGGTTTTGTGGATGATAGAAGTGGACATAAAAGTACAGACCTTAATCAATTTAAATGAAGTTTTAAATGCATTTGAGTCATCATGATGTCATAAAAGGAGTAAAGTAGTTTATGAGAATTATACTGCCGCTTGCTAAACATTTGTGCTATGGATGAATATTGACTTGTCCCTCCTTTTCTTTAAAAAAGGTTGCAGTGAATCACCAACACACTCTCATGGCAGTTCTTAACTTTGTTTTTTTGTTTTTTTTTGGTTGAATTGGTGGTGAATGCGTATGCATTCATACAATCTCTTTTGTACATTTGCATATGATCGGCTTGCTCCCCACTGAGAGTTAGGTTTAGGAGTGGACCTTCATGCTTACTTTTTTTTAAGAATCATGTTTTCATGATTTAAATCGTACAAATTCATAAAAAAATTCATCACCAATTCGCCAAGATGTTAAATAGTTTTCTCTTGAGACTGGGTCGGAAGCATTTACAATGGGTGTAAATGGGGCACAATTGGTAAATGTTAAAATACTCATTATTTCAGTATAGCCACTTACACAATATGTGTTCAAATCATAGAAATTCATATGAAATCATAGAAATCCATATGAATTCAGCACCAATTTGTGAAACATTATTTTATCTATATTATAGATAATTTTTGGAAACACTAAATGGACGTTAAAATATTTCAGTAGTACTGTATATATGTAAACGTGTTTTAGTGTAATAATAATAATAATAATAATAATAATTTAAAAACAAAAACATGTTCTAACTAACATTCACTGTGTAAAGTTTTCATTTCTGGGGGGCAAAATTTTGATGATTGAGCTCAACTTGTATTGAACATGAAATACTCTTTTAGATTGAAGAAAAGCCTTAGAACCGGAACACCTTAGCAATGACCTAGAAACACCTTGCATCAGTTTACAGCCAACCACATCAAGCTAAAAAAAACACTTAGCAACTACATAGCAACATCTTGGCAATCCACAACAACCAACATTGTAACTGTAAGCTTTGCATAGGCAAGCACCAAAAATCTGTATGAATGTTGTGAGTAGCGAGTGCAAATAAACCAATTTTCAGAGTATCGTTGACTCACGTTGGCCTGAAACCTTTTTTCAGCTCATAATGCACAACGTACACACACACACTCATGTGTTTACAGCTGATTAAAGGCATAGCAAGTGGATAAAAGGGGTTGTCTGGCCCAGTAGGAAGTTGCAGAAAGAAAAAGGGAAGGAGGGAGAGATAGAGACGAGCAAGAGAGAAGTAGAGTAGATTAGTATATTCCTGGCTGCTGGTTAGTGGGCAGACTATGTATGTAGAGTAGCAGTACTTGAGGTTAGTTCTGCCACTGACCCCTAGGAAACTGATGGCGTTGCACTCAGGGGAAAATATGGCAGCTTATTTGCACGAAGAATTGTTTGCCTGAAAACAGTAGCACATTTTAGGATGCATTTCAGCATACTGACTCCTGTAATTGACTTCATTGATTGGCTTTTGCTGCAAGATGCAAATGAGAGAAGTGAGAGAGAAAGTGAGAATGAGCTACATAGAAAGAACAAGTGAGAAAATTCTGCAGTGGAAAGAGAAGAAAGACATGCTGCCTTAAAACAGATGAAGTTGTATCCTGACCAGTTTATGTTAATGCAAAGCATATAGTTTAGAGTAAAATGTTAGTTATTTAAAGGGAAGTTAATGTTTTAAAAAAAGGCTACAGTAAAAACCTGTCTGTAAGTCTATATCATTTTTATGAATTTTTATTTCAGTTTTAGGTTTAGTTATTTCAGTACATCAAGTTCATTTAACACTTATTTAATTTCAAGTAATAATGAAAAATGTTTTTAATGGTTTTAATTTTAGTTATATAATAGCTGATATAAATAACTAAACATTAACCGCCGTTAAAACAGACACTATTAAACACACTGCAATTAGAACACAGCAATGTTACTGTACTTATAGAAAATATAAAAGCACACATCTCTATCTATGAAACTGCAGCCTCTCGTCAGATGTCACACTCAAGACATTATGTATTTATGATGGATTTTTTCATCTTGGTGGATACACTCAAGGGTCTCCATAAGGAACACGGCAGAAGGATGTTTTTCATCATCATCATCTCGTCATGCCCTTTTTCTGTCTGTCTCTGCCATCTGGTATAAATGTGGCAGCAGATGATCATTTTCATGTTGTCATGGTGAGATTGTGACAGGATGCAAACCACCACCTAATGACTAAGCACTTTGAACATCAAGAAAACCTGTCTTAGCCTGGCTCGCTTTTGAAATCAAACCCCATGTTTTAAAGTACTTCTTGCATGTGTATTATGGACATACGTATAGTCAGCTTTCAGCCCTTCACAAAAAATCTAATCATCCTTTTGTTTTGCATCTCGTCTTTCTGTGGGTAATATTCACTCTTGTCAGATTCTGCAAACAGAAATAATTCAAGTCTTTTAAAAATGTAATCATGTAATTAATAAAGCCTGTATTACTGTAAATACTATAGACACATTTTGGAGAGATCATTTTGGCTAGTTAGGATGACATTTGTATTTCTGTCAACAGTTTTTTGTTTTTTTTTCTCCCAGTAAAATATTAATGGTCCCCCAACTTGCAGTGTTGAGTGTATTAAGCCAATTAGTGAAGTGGGTGGTATACACAAAAGTAAATAATATGGTATTTCTTCTAGCAATATACACCACGATTTACACATGTGATTCAAAGACATCTGGTTTTACCAGTACGATATGACTTGGAAATTAAGAAGCGTTATTAAGCATTAATAAATACATGCAGCTTTTGTATAAAAAATTGGGTCACACTTTATTTCAAGGTCCAATTCTCGCTATTAACATACACTAACATAAAAAAAAAAATCCGTAAAAATACAGTAGCAACGTTTTAGGTTTTACGGTTTTAACTTAAATGTACAGTTAAATACCGTATTTTCATTAACTGATATAATGTTAATATAACAC